TCTTTCTTTCAGGTCCTCCTCACTCACTCACTTACTCTCTTACTACCTCCTTCCCTCCCTCCCTCCCTCCCCCATTCCCTCCCTCACTCCCCCATTCCCTCCCTCACTCCCCCATTTCTTCCTCACTTCCTCCCTCACTCTCTCAGATAGACTCGATTTATCTAATTTAATAACTATCATACAACACAGGTGAGATAAGTGAAGTTAGTTAGGTGTTACTCTGACACCTGTAGAGTCTTCAGTCTCCAACAAGGCTAATTAGGCACAGGTAAACTCATTTCCTCTTTACTAACGACCCTTTATGTGAGGTAAATAATCTTAAGTAAAGTTATTATGTTCTGTTTCGTTACCTGTCAATCCTCCTGCGTAATTAAACTCAGCTAGACTCATCTATCGAAAAATTATGCTCAATTAGGCTCAAGTTGACTCAAATGGAATAATTACTCTCCATTATATTAGGCTTAATGAGACTCAATTAGGGTCATTAGGTTATCTACGGTGTCCTGAGTACCCCAGAAGCCACTAGGGGAGGAAGGGGTGAGGGGAGAGGGGCTGGGGAGGGAGGGGAGAGGGGCTGGGGAGGGAGGGAGGGGCTGGAGGAAGGGAGAGGGAGAGGGGCTGGGGAGGGAGAGGAGGAGAGGGCTTTGGGAGGAGAGGGAGAGGGGCTGGGGAGGGAGAGGAGAGGGGCGGGGGAGGGAGGAGAGAGGAGGGGGGAGGAGAGAGAGAGAGAGAGGGAGGGGGCGGGCAGAGGGGTCGAGGGAGCGGGGGAAATGTGTGAGGGTGTAAGGGGGACGGAGGGAGGGGGAGGGAGGTTATCAGCAACAGGTTAAGGTGAGTGGCCCCACCCAGCACACCTCAAAGGTATAGTCCAGTACACCGTTCAACACCTCTAGGCTCTGAGTGTCTTACGGTCTACCTACTCTCTCACATATTCTCTCCCATTCGCTCACTTCTGTAGCTTCTCTTGCTTCTTCTTCTCATTATTATCATATTCTTCATCTCCTCATCTTCATCATCATTAGTAGTATCTTCTTCTTCTTCTCATCGCCATCTTCCTCTCGTGATGACATAGCAGTTTACCGAGTCAGTGGAATGTGCCAGTGTAATGTTGATACACTGTACCTACACCAGCCAGTACAGTTACAAGGTCTACTCCATCTGCTGTATACCTGCGTTAGATAGCTCTATGACTGCCTGACTGACTGATTGGTTAGATGAGTCATTTACTGGATGGTTGATAGACTGGTAGACTGACTGACAAAGTAGTTGATTGGTTGGCTGGTAGACTGGTTGCTTGATTGATTTGGGGATCGTGCGCTTAACTGGTCTTTATTTAACGTATGTAATTAAGAGCCTTGGTGTGATTAATTTTTACGATCATTTCTATTTTGTGTTTTGACTGAATCACATTAATCAGGTGTTTAATTTACGCTTTTTTTTTAAGATTTTACACATCAGGTGGTCCGCCTAGCGTCTCTCTGGTAGGTTCATTGTACTCCCGCTAGATGCCATGATGTGTACGATAAATACTGAACCACCACCGCAATTTATGGCTCGAAATTCTATCATTTAAGAGATGATTTCAGTTGAGAGAAAGGGTTTGCGAAATGACGAACTGTCTAGAAAATATAGATTAGTTTTCTCTCGGCCGGAAATTGTATAGAGGTGAATAAATAAGTGATTATACATTAATGGGTATTCAAACGCTGTTTTTCAGGGGTTATGTTGCTGGAATTTTTATCAATAAGGAGCCTCTCTCTCTCTCTCTCTCTCTCTCTCTCTCTCTCTCTCTCTCTCTCTCTTTGCTTATCTAAATATCCGTTTATATCCAGTTAAGGCGTCAACAGAGCCGCAGCGTCATTATTTATCTTTCACACAGTCGATGTTTAAATATCACGATGACAAGCAACAGCTGAGAGAGGTAAACAGAGCCGTGACGTCACTGTTTAACTTCTCACCTGGACAGTGAAGCAGGTGGAAGGAATAGCTTGGGACTGATTGATGTATGTATTTAGACCACTATTAATACCACAACCACTACCCACCACAACCACCCCCTACCACAACCACTACCCACCACAACCACCCCCTACCACCCAACATAAACACTTTTCAAGGCGTTTTTCCTGGTACCGACTTTCCAGTTTCCCTTCACCACATCATCTTAAATCACCGCCTTAAGACCCGGATATAGGCTTGTGATTCTATATCTGTCTGTCTGTCTGTCTGTCTCTGTCTGTCTGTCTATCTATCTACCTCCACCTTTATCTATTTACTCTTAACATTCCATTCACACATGAACTGAAGTGAGAAAAAATACAAAAAAATTTTGAAAAATTAAAAGAAAATCACCGATCAGAAAATAACAATGAAATCTGACAATGATGACTCGTAACATGGAGGAAGGTAAACTGACACCTGTGATTAGTTGACGTAAAGTCGAGAATACCTTACTTACGGCACCATTAAGCGCTATGGCACTAATCAGCTTGAACTTTCTATATAGAGGGGAGATATTTGAGAGAGAGTTGAGAGAAAGTCGTCATCGTTCAATGGCATGACGAAAGTGAGAGTCGTCGCCGTTGACTTTTTTCCTGTGCGTGACTAAGGAAGGAGAAAGAGAGAGAGAGAGAGAGAGAGAGAGAGAGAGAGAGAGAGAGAGATTCAACATATACTTGGACCATTATTATATACATAAGCAGCATAGATATCGGCGTGGACAGCAACGTAAGTAAATTTGCTGATGACACGAAAATAGGGCATATAATTAAATCTGGCGAGGACTCCCCAAACTACAGGAAGATGTAAACTAATTTTTCGAATGGTCTGAAAAATGGCAGATGAAATTCAATGTGGACAAATGTAAAGTACTTAGTCTAGGAGATGTAAACAGAGAAACCAGATACCAAATAAACAAGGATGTTATAGAGAAAGCCGAATGTGAGAAAGATTTAGGAGTAATGATAAGTAGGAATCTTAAGCAAAGTAAACAATGTGTATTTTTCGAAACAAGGCTAATAAAGTACTTGGGTCCATACAAAGGAGTGTTAGTTACATGACTAGAGATGTCATCCTAAAACTATATCTGGCGCTTGTGAGACCTCACTTGGATTACGCAGTTCAATTCTGGTCACCGTATTACAGAATTGATTTAGAATCCCTACAAAGAATTCAGAGGAGAATGACAAGACTAATCCCGGGCATTAGGAACCTTGAGTACAGAGACAGGTTAAAGCAACTTAATTTGCACTCCCTCGACAGACGTAGTGTGAGGGGCGATATGATAGAGGTGTATAAATGGAAGTCAGGGCTAAAAAAAGGTGATATAACAAAGGTACTCAAACTATCCAACCGGGAGCGAACTCGTAACAATGGTCTTAAAATAGACAAATTTAGATTTAGGCACGAAATAGGTAAACACTCGTTTGGAAATAGAGTAGTGGATGAATGGAACAAGTTACCAAACATTATCAATAACTCGAATACGCTGGATAACTTCAAACATAGATTAGATGGATATATGAGCAATAGGGGTTGGGTGTAAATGGGACTGCCCAGTATGGCCCATTAGGCCCGCTGCAGTTTCCTCCATTCTTATGCAGTTATGGGTTAGGTTAGGTTTATGGTGTTTATTCATCATAATATAAAAGCTGGGGTGTCTAATCTGCACCTGCTCCACGTACCTGATAAACACAGGGAGGTGAGGACACAGGGAGGTGAGGACACAGGGAGGTGAGGACACAGGGAGGTGAGGACACAGGGAGGTGAGGACACAGGGAGGTGAGGACACAGGGAGGTGAGGACACAGGGAGGTGAGGGGAGGTGAGGACACAGGGAGGGGACATGGAGAGGACACAGGAGGTGAGGACACAGGGAGGTGAGGACACAGGGAGGTGAGGACACAGGGAGGTGAGGACACAGGGAGGTGAGGACACAGGGAGGTGAGGACACAGGGAGGTGAAGACACAGAAGTAGACAAGACTTCGCATCAGCAATAGGGGGAAAAATATTTGTTTAATGTTAAGAAATTATTATTATGTGAGAGTTGGGCAAGACACATAATCTGTTGACCTGACCTGACCTGACCTTAGGATAGGGATTAAGATTAGACGAAGAGAGGTCAGTAAACCCTCGACTTAGGACACCAACAATTTGTCCACTCGGCACTAACTACTAACAGCTATTGTATTTTCTGTGTGTGTGTGTGTGTGTGTGTGTGTGTGTGTGTGTGTGTGTGTGCAGTAGAAAGCGTCGAACTGTCTAACAAGATTTCCGGGATGACAGGAAGTTATTATTATTTTCTTCCTCTGGGGGGTCACACGTAACCTCTTTCCTTGGAGGTCAAAGTTCATTGGGTCAAATCTGAATCTGTCTGCTCGTTCGTTAGGTCTGTAAATCTTTCTACACCTCTCTCTCACACACACACACACACCACACACACTTAAAGTTGAAAAAACGCAGATATCTTCCAAAAGCATTAAACTAACGCTTCACTTCAGGGTTTCAAATGTGAGTACCTCGAAGCGTTTACGCAGTTGACCTAAAAAATATTACGGAAGTGGTCGGGATGGCAACGAGAGGGGGGGGGGCACCTCCAGGGGTTAGGTCCGTGAGTATGTGTGTTGGTATCAAAACAAAATCCAGATTAGATGCATAATATTCACAAAATACAATAAGTAATGATAACAATAAAAAGGGTAATAATAAGGGAATAAATAATAACAATAAAACAATAACAGAGTGTAATGATAGCAAGTTGAGATCATGAATGAAGAAACAAGAATTTTTTAAGCAGACATCAACGGAAAGTAAACAAAAACACTCCTGACATCTGGTGGCTCATTGTGAAGGTTACGTAGAGTCATCGCTCCTGCACTTCTCTGACTCCTGTAAATTTCTGTAAAAAAACCTACTTAGCTCGTACTCTCTCTCTCTCTCTCATGCCCTACTGACCTTGTATAAATAATATAACTGACCATATACATCCCCCCCCCCGCCAGCGTGTGACCTTGGTCCTGGTGGTGGCTCTGGCACTGTTGGCACCGGCCGAGTGCCAACGTACTAGGTCCAGACTGCAGCAGATGATGCAGGGCGTGTTTGATGGCATGGGAAGTATCGCCAGCAGGATCACCAATGGAATGACCAGGTTAGTGTCTTAAGATACCCAGCCAGGTGGCATTAGTTGAAGCCTCAGGCGAGTTACGTGGAGTTAGGCGAGTCCTCAGGTAAAGGAAAACAAATCGGGTGAGGTGAATTCAGAGGTAATTTTCCAGAAAGTGTGCGTGTGTGTGTATGTGTGATGTTCTTAAGAAGATAAATAAATTAAAGAAGACAAAATCCTCAGGCCGGATGAAATTTTCCTTGAGTTTTGAAAGAGTGTAAGGAACAGGTTAGCGGACCCCTCGTAAATTTATTTACAAATTCATTAGACGCGGGAGTTGTGCCAGACTTGTGGAAACAGGCAAATGTAGTACCCATATTCAAAAAGGGAGACAGAGCATCAGCGTCAAATTACCGGCCGATTAATTTGACGTCTGTAGTGGGGAAATTTCTTGAGTCAATTATAGCAAATAGCATCCGATCGCATTTAGAGAAAAACAAATTAATCTACGACTCTCAACATGGATTTACAAAGGGAAATTCTTGTCAAACAAATCTGCTGACTTTTTTACGAAAGTCTATGAGGTAGGAGGTAATGACGAAAATTACGATGTTATTTACTTAGACTTTAGCACAGCGTTTGACAGAGTACCGCACCAGAGACTTCTAAGAAAGCTTAAGCCTTATGGTATCGAGGGGAAAGTTTTAAATAGGATAAAATCATGGCTCACCGATAGAACACAGAGGGTCAGCGTAGATGGTGTTAAATCTGAGTGGGGCTGTGTAACTCGTGGGGTTCCCAGGGGTCAGTACTGGGCCCACTCTTGTTCATAATCTACATAAACGATCTGGATACTGGGATCAGCAGAGCCATAAGCAACCTTGCGGATGACACCAAAATAGGGCTGCAGATTAATTCAGGGCAGAATGCAAATGCACTACAGAAGGATTTAAATAAACTACTTGAGTGGTCAAAAAAGGGGCAAATGAAATTCAACACCATCAAGTGCATTGTACTTAATATTGGAAGAACAAATACTGTCAATGTATACAGCCTTAACAACATCATCCTAGAGAAGTAGACTTGTGAAAGAGATTTAGGGGTACTTGTAAGCCCGGACCCTCGGCCAAGAAAACAACGCTTTAATATTCAAAATAAGGCAAACAGAGTATTAGGTTTTATATCTAGAAGTGTAAGTACTAAGAGTGCGGAGGTCATATTGCAATTATATCTTGCGCTAGTCAGGCCGCAGCTCGATTATGCTGTTCAGTTCTGGTGCCCTTATTATACTGTAGAATGGATATCCATTCACTGGAGTCGGTGCAGCAAAGATTGACGAAAATGATTCCGGGACTTAGAAACCTTTCATATCAAGATAGATGAAAGAAACTAAACTTGCATTTCCTAGAAAGACGAAAAGTGCGGGATATATGATAGAAGTATTTAAGTGGGTGAAAGGAATCAATAAAGGAGATATAGATAATGTTCTTATAATATCCGAGCAGGATAGGACTCGTAGCAACGGATTTAAGTTGGATAAGTTTAGGTTTAGGAGGGAGATAGGAAGAAACTGGTTCACAAATAGGGTAGTAGACGAGTGGAACAAGCTTAGCAACATTGAAGTAAGTGCTGGGAACGCTGGGAAGTTTTAAAGGAGGCTAGATAGATTCATGGATGAAAGAGTGTGCCAGTAACTCTCGACAGGAGCTGACATGCACATGCCAACCGGCCTATTGCAGACTCCTTATGTTCTTGTGTGTGTGTGTACCTCACAGGGTGTGTGTACCTCACAGGGGTTCTCGGCCTCTCTGCCGCCACCGACTCACCTCTTCCTCCCTCTTCTCCGTGTACAGGACTCTGGGTACGGAGAACGCTGGTCGCGAGGTCCCTGTCCGCCAGCGTCAACACGTCGCCAAAGTCCCTGCCCGCCAGCTCGACGAGAACTCCTTGGCCGCTCCCAACGCCCCGCAGGAACAGCAACAGCAGGCGGCGGGCCGTCCAGCCGTCCGTCAGAATCGCAACCGCTTCTCCCTCCGACAGTTTATGGACGGAACTGTCTCCAGGCTGGTCAACTGGCTGCCAAGTCTTCGTCGACGATCTTCCAACCGCCACCGCACTGGTCGCGATGTCCAGGTAAGCCCTCTTCTACGTCGCTCCCTCTATGGTTCAGATACACACAGTGACGACAGTGACCTTATTCCCTCGACGGCCCCTGACGGCATTCCCTCGCGGGCGCCGACGATCCATGTAATTGTGAACCTGTACGGCGAGGGCCAGGTCGAGGAGTACCCCCAGGAGGCCTCAGGGACCCCTGATCATTCTCTCACTGTCACACGCTACGCTAATCACTCAATCAACGTGCAGCATTCTCCAAGTTTTGGCACCATGATGACTGATGACCTGGAGAATGTGACCATGTTGAATAATGATTCAGAGGAAGTGGCAGACACGACGACGACGACAACAGAGCCATCTGACACTGAATATGTGATGTACGCGTTTGGAGACGAGAACTCTCTACCCAATGGTACATTCCCAAGCGTCGAAGAATTCATCAACAATTTCGGTCCATCACATTGGTGGGGACAGAAGTTGTCACATCGTCCCCAAGAATCTTACGATACTCCCACTGTTGATAAAGATAACTCCACTGGCAATGATAATTTTGACTTGTTCACTTCCCACTCTGTAAATTATCAAATTCCAGTAATTAGCAACTCCCCTAAGGTTGTGACCTCTAGAGAACTAAGCTCTGAGATCACGGGCTACAAACATGGTTTTCTAAAGGGATATGATAGTGGTTTTGTCGACGGCACCACCAGAGCTAGTTTAGAGAGATATCAATATGGTAATGGGAGCTCTAACAATAACAAAGGGGGTCCTGATAACCGCCACAGTGTTAATACTAACGCCAGGTGGAGCCCAGGCACTAACACCAGGGGGCAGGTCGGTAGTGTGAATGGACAGGGGAGTCAAAATACTAACCAGCTTCAGGTGAGGGGCGGGGCTGCTGGGTGTGGCGTCAGCTGCTTGTGGGGCGATCTAATGAACATTCTTGATCATTACAGCACGAGTGAGAGCACTGAGAACAGCAGGGCCAAGGCCTCAGCAGGGTCGGTGGGGCATGCGGTGCTGTCTGAGCGGGTGCAACAGTCCTCGCCCAACACCCAACACGATACCTACCCCGGCAACAGCTTCCCTCCTAATAATAATGTATATACGCACTCACTAACTAACCGTGTACATCGCCCCGGCATAAACAACATTAACACTGCCTTCGGTCGACGACCTCCTCAGTACCAACATAACTTCCACCCCTTAAATTCGGGCGTCACATCTCAACCCAGAGTTAACAGGCGACCTCCCTCACCCTCCTGGGATCAGACAGACGACCAGGAGGTCTTACCTCCCGGTCCTCCCTACTCTTCCTCTCCTGCCATATTTCGCCCTGACTACGACCAGAATAGGGCTGCGGGTCGGGTAGTGAGCTGGGTGGCGGGGCAGGACCAGGGGGTGGGGAGACTCTCTAACTTCCATAACGGTGGTCTGAGGAGGCGCTGGGATGGTTGATACACATGTTATAAATTTACCTCCACTTTCAATACCACTCTCCGAGGCAGCCATACTACACACCCTCCTCACACACACCTAGTGGCACCTCTGGGTGTTCGAGTAGTTACCCATGGCAACTGAACACCGTGACCTGGTACCTTACCTACTCCCTATACCACTGTCCACAAACTACTTGCATGTGTGACCCTCTCCATGACACATCCCTGATCTTCAATGCACTCTTCTGACCTCCTGTAGCAACACACCATAAGAAACGTTAAGATCAGTCATGCAGCCTCACTCCAACACACACTTACCACCGTCCATACTCTGCCTTGCCCTCACACCACACACCAAACGCTGAGACACTCTTATCTTCAGACCAGTTATTTCCACTCTCAGTAACTAAACCGTAATATGTGAAACTGGAGAAGATGTGTAAGTCATACTTGGGTGCCTAATGTCGTCCAGTTTGTCACTCCCGACCATAGTGCATCACCCGTCCTCACGTAAGTCTTTCGTGTGTCGCCGCCCGGTGCATGGCTCCCGCTTTAGCTGTAAATAGCAAAGCGACCCTCTGTATAAAGGCATGTTTTGTTATACTCTAATCTTATAAGGACTGAATTACCAGTAGAGAGAGAGAGAGAGAGAGATTTTAAAGTTACTCTACCTTTAAGTACGGAACATATTGGCCAACTCGAAATTAATTAGATTAATAAATATATATCGGCATTAATAGTCCCCATGTTGAAGGCCTCCCTGGCGGAGACCACCAGACAACAGAGCTGTACTAAACCTCGTGACTGTACAGTAGTGTAAACAAAGGCTGTCACCCACCACCAGAGTTACCTTTCATTAATTAATAGTTTCATAACTTTCATTATTATTGTTACGTAGATCAGTTGTTATTATTGTTGTTAAATGTCTTCTCTTTATTATGGTTAACTGCCCGAGATTATATTGTAACTCAGCTTGTGTGTAGAGAGTAAGACCAAGCAGTAATAAGATGCAAGTTATATATATATATATATTATAAACCTGATATAATGATGGGCGATCGGTCAAGTGTTCCATAGTGTTTAATAGTGCATGTCTGGTAAGCTTCAACGCGCACCTACCTGTATATAACACAAGAGGTGAGGGAGAAAGTGTGTGTGTGTGTGTGTGTGTGTGTGTGTGTGTGAGTGCGTGTGTGCGTGTGTGTGTGTGTGTGCGTGCGTGTGTGTGTGTGTATGTGTGTGTGTGTGTGTCGGGCTGGTCCTGGCGTCTGTATTTATTGTGTACAAAATATAACCTTCCCTTAACCGCGTGTGTTTCTATCCTGAGCGTTGATTGGCTGCTGGTGGCTGGTTCACTGAGCTATAGGAACCAATTTGATCTAATCATTCATAATTGGTGTCCAGTCCTAATGGTCCTATTAAGCTTCCTACAGAGTGTCTTAATCCCAATTACCTCTAATTACACTGAATCCAAATTGTAATAAATCATAGTCTTAGTCCTAATCCTAATCTTAATCAGTCCTAATCCTAAGCAGTCCTAATCATAGTCTTAATCAGTCCTAATCATAGTCTTAATCAGTCCTAATCCTAAGCAGTCCTAATCATAGTCTTAATCAGTCCTAATCATAGTCTTAATCAGTCCTAATCATAGTCTTAATCAGTCCTAATCATAGTCTTAATCAGTCCTAATCATAGTCTTAATCAGTCCTAATCATAGTCTTAATCAGTCCTAATCCTCGTCTTATTCAGTCCTAATCCTAACCACTTACTGCCTTAACGAATCCTAGTCACAATGAATCACTATTTCTATTGATTGGATAAATATTCGTAGGCTCAGGATCTCTTAATACAGGGACCAATTGATCATGTTGCTCGATGGGTAACTTGACTCACTGTCCATGTGTGTATCTGTCTCTCTGCTGAAGACCAACGTGTGTGTATGTGTATGTGTGTGTGTGTGTGTGTGTGTGTGTGTGTGTGTGTGTGTGTGTGTGTGTGTGTGTGTGTTAGAACGTAACTCTTCTCTGCATGGTAACATTTTCTTTGTAAATATAATTGTTTTCTGTGTCATTGTACAGTTTAATGGAAGAAATAATTAGTTGTGAGCAGCCATAAACTTAGTTGTATGTTGTTAGTTGTTACCTTACAACACACCATTAAAGATGAGGAAATTTTAAAGTTGTTTTATTGACTTGTTATAACCTCAGTCAGTTGTATGTTGTTATAACTGATGGTGTTAATATGTTAGAGTAATTTTTAATCCTTATATTAATATTTATTTGTATTTTGTCGATGTTTATCTGTGTATTTCTGGGAGGGGAGTAATCCAAGTATATTCAAATGTCCTGTTACGAAAATTATATGTGTGCCACACACAGGGTGGTGAAATGCATCTAGTGTGGCAGCATTATGACAGTGTTAAGGTGCAAACACTGCTTGCTCCCTCTCGCTTTCAGCTGCCGCCGCTGGGTAGCCCTCGTCGCGAACAGGGAAGCAACTTGCAAACGAATTCCCCTGCCAGTAAACAGCCTCCTCACAATCAAGACTCCTGCTGTGCCTCCTCGTGGCAACACACGGTAACTGGGTGCCTCGTTGGCCCAGGCTAGATCAGCAGGGGATCTCGGAGTAGCAGTGGGCCCCAGAGGGACGGCGCATAGGCCCACTGGCATGTGCACACGTCCTGGCGCCTACCAACCACCGCCCCGCTGCCTTGCGGATTAACCTTGGCAGGTATAAGGCTACGGGACTAAACCCCGAACGAAAAATCTGAGGTGGAGCCCCACATCAGGCAGACATGCTTACAGAGCTCCAACAAAACCCCAACAGCGGTGTAGGTGGAAGAGGTGACCACCATGGAAACCCAACCACTACACCGGCGGATGAAGGCAATGCCTGATGGACAGGCTACTATGGCGAAACCCAACAAACTGGGCTATCGGCAGTCCATTGCAACTCTCCCTCTCCCCAGTCGTTGCAACACTTGCACCACTGGATCAGGAAAAGGGAGAGCCAAGATGTGTGGATTCAGCCTGTGCTCCTGCCTCACCACATAAATCAACTCACGCTCAGCCATCATCCAGTTCATCATACCTCTCATCATCATCAAAACCCCTATACCCCCGAAAGTCCTATGGCGGTGGACGAGTGGCGTCGGGGACAGGCCAGGAGTCTCTGGTCACAACTCTGCACATGGGCGGCATAGATAAGATGGTCGTTTATGCACTGGGATCTAGGCAGCAGTGCAATCTGGTCGTCTGTGCGACTGAGCGGCCCTTTCGAGGAACCACTCTGCTCACCCCACATGGGAGGGGGCTAGAAAAAGTTCCCTAAACATAGCCTGCCTAAAAACCCAACCTGACTAGGCAACCGCACCCAGTAAGGTCATCCTTTTGCGGTCGAAAACACAATCAAAATCACAGATCCAAAAAAAAAAAAACATACAACCTCTTATGGTCGCTGCATGGAATATCAGGGCCCTTCTGGATACTAGCACAAATGCGCTTCCTGGAAGAACTGCCCTTGTGGCAAAAGAGCTGGCTAGGTATAACATCGACATAGCAGCCATCAGTGAGTCCCGGCTCCCAGATGAGGGCCAACCCACAGAACGGGGGTCTGGCTACACCTTCTTCTGGAAGGGTAAGCCTGCTGTGGAGAGAAACCGCATTTATGGAGTTGGCTTTGCCATCTGCCAACGCACCCTACACAGGCTAACTGAAATGCCTATTGGGATCAACGAGCGCCTCATGACTTTTCGAGTCCCACTTAATCACTCGCGCCATGCCCTCTTCATCTGTGCATACGTCCCAACACTAAATGCAGAGGATGACATCAAGGAGGCCTTTTATGCCGACCTTGAACGAGTGCTAACCTCTATCCCCAGAGAAGACAAGGTTGTGCTCCTTGGCGACTTCATCGCCAGAGTTGGCGGAGATGCTAACATTTGGCAGGGAATCATCGGGAGAAATGGAATAGGCAAGTGTTATCCCAACGGCCTACTCCTCCTCAGCAAGTATGCTGCACACAACCTCACTATCACCAATACCTTGTTTAGGCAGGCCAACAAGTTCAAGGGTTCGTGGCAACATCCACAATCCAAACACTGGCATTTCATTGATTACATAATTGTTAGAGAAAGAAATCGCTGAGATGTCCTCATTACCCGTGCCATGCATGGCTCAGGCCACTGTGACACTGATCATCGACTTGTCAGATCCAAGCTCTCACTTCACGTCGCCCCAAAATGGCGAAGGCAGCAAGCCTCCAGAAGAGGTTTTAATACTAAGCATCTGGAGGATCCAGTGGTAGCACATGCTTTCAGAGAGCAGCTCGAACATGGGAATATAAACAACCCAACAGCAAACAACGTGAATCCCAGTGCCGAATGGGATATTCTTAATGCTGTTATGACAAAAACCTACAGACCCCCTCGGCCACATCAAAAGAATACACCTGGACTGGTTTGATGAAAATGATCTGCCAATCAAAGTACTCATCGATGATAAACATGCTGCTTTTACTGACTGGCAGAACAACCGGCAGTCTCGGACCAAAGCTAATACCTTCCGCAAGAAGAAAGCGGCAGCCCAGCGGGAACTTCGCAATCTAAAGAACGACTGGCTTTAAAGTAAAGCATGTGAAGCACTTAAACTTGCACATCAGCACAAGATGCGGGAATTTTTCATTTCTACTATAACATTTTATGGACCAGTCACTCATGGCGCAGCCACCCCCTCCGCTCATCTGACGGCAACCTCATAATTAAAGGCGACGAAGGCCTCCTTCAGCGCTGAAAAAGCACTATCATTCATTACTCAACCGAAACACCGATGTGGATGTCCTGACTACCCAGCAGGACCCTCAGCATCCAGAGCTGACCCACCTCAGCTATCCTCCATCCCTGGACGAGGTAGCTTCTGCCATCAAACAGATGAAAAATAACAAAGCCTCAGGGCCTGATGAAATCCCAGCCGAGGTGTATAAAGTAGGAGGACCTCTGCTTACCAGCCGTCTTCACTGTCT